GAGCTGGTGCAGAAGGATGTCAGGGCTGAAGCTATCAAAAGCTGTGAAGAGATTCCGGTAAGCTCTGCGACCCCGGGCAGTAATGCCTCGAGCTCCCACTGATAAGAGGCGACAAATCTCCGAAATCTTTTAAAACTGCTGCCTTTGGTGTTGAAAATTAAACGTCGAGCTGTAAAAGCAGGAGGGTAGACTCTAAGGCGCAAAGACACTAACTGTTTAAATTAAGGAGCCCGATTTGTTTCGGAGCCAAGATGGCGCTGGGAAGTTAATTGGAAGAGTGAAACAAAGTAACCAACGCCTGCTGTAGAACAAAGAAAGAGAAGCCCCCGTTGGGAAACTCCGCGGGGCAAAGTAACCAAGTTAAAAAAGTAGGAAATTGAAATGAAACAATAGAGACTTTGTATCGCTAATGGGCAACTGGAGAGTCTAACAAAAAAAAAAAAAAAGAAAAAGGCTAAAGAGAGAACCGGGAGGAAAACGGAGGGACGCCGGACGCGGAGAAAGCGAACTACGACTCTTCGCATATATCCTCCCTCGCATACTTCTAGTACTCCAGCTCCCCAGCTGGTTGCCGTATTGTCTTAAAACTGAAGGAAACACAGCGTGCGAGACCGTGTGTATGGGGAGATGAGACTGCTTACTTTGGTTGGCTGACACCCGCCCAGACTTGCTAGAAGCCGGCTTCTCTGAGGGATTCTGAGGGACTCTGACAGACTCAAAGACTCTGAAGGTTTTTTCTATCATTTTCTCTCACCTCTGGACTGATTTCGCATCGAGGAACAGGTCACCCCCCGGACTTTCGGCCCCTTTCTTTGTTTTTTCTCCTTTTTGGAACTGATACTGAATTCCTTTTTCCCTGATTCAGGGCCCCCCTCTCCGCTGGGGGAACTTACATCAAGCTCTGGATTGTCTTGGACTCTTGCCTCCACGTTTATATATCTGTACCCCCCCTGCCCGTTTGCCCTCTCCCCCTTACCAATTTCTACCTCCCGATTTTTGGTTGCTCTTAAGGGAATACTAATAGGACAAACCTCACAATATGTGGGAATAGACTAAGCTACAAGAGGCAGAGATTCAAAAGAGAAATTTTAGTATCACTGGCACCATTTAGACTGTGCCACCTGTGTTAGTCCATTTATTGTCCCCTTTCCGTGATCTTTTCCCCTTTCTGACCTTGCAAGACCCTTCAACTCCTCGTCATTTTTTGTAATTTTGTTGTATATGATTATCATGCATTATCTCTGGTAATTGGAACTTGCCTTTTACAAGAGACAATCGTAAGGATTTGTAAACTAGGAGGGAAAATTCCCAGTATTGGGAACGGGCTGATTTAAAGGGAAGTTACAAGACAAGTTAGAATCGAGGGGCAGATTAAAACCCTTTCGGTGATAGCCAATATCCAAGATTGTAAGCCCCTTGGGGAAAGCCATAAAAACTTGTGGATAGACTTGAGGCGGGAGGGGTGGGAAGGGGGAGGCGGGCAGATGGCGGGGAAAGACGGGAAGAAGCCTGCAGGGACACCAATGGATAGGAGAACCTCAAGGCAAGAGGAAATAAAAGACCTAGATGCATTATGGTTGAAAATAAAAGAGGAACTTAGACAAAACGAAACACGTATAGAAAAAAAATTAGGAGAGATGCAAGAATCTTTTGACAAAAAAATTGAGGTGGTTGCAGGGGAACTTTCAAACAAGATAAAAGAACTATCTGTCAAAACGAAAACCTT